CCATGAGTTTCCCAATTTAGAGGATTTTTTACCTTTTCGGACCCTGCTTTATGCAGGAGGTTAAAAGGTTTTAAGACAAGGAGATCTTCTTCAGGGTTAAGAAATTCCTTTCCAGGCTACACGAAGCACTTTCAGGAAGAGAGTCGCCCTTATTGGGCCACATGAGCATCCTGAGAAGTCTCACCAGGCTCAGTTCCACCAGTTCAGTGGAAAACACAAGCTCTCAGTGGAACTCAGACCAAAGGCGGTCCATCTGCTAAGAGAAGACCTAAACATTAAAGGTAAGTGTGCCTCCTCACCGCCACTGAATTGGAATAGTTCTACAGACAAATAAGTTTTAAACATTTTTCAAAGGGGCTTACTGTAAGCAACAAAGCACTTACCTTGTCGGTCCGCCGATCCGCTGACATCAGAATCGGTCGGACCGCCGCTCCCACACAGAGTATAGACGCAGTAAGCATCAGGGACGCGGGCTGCTATGCGCCCGCCCCTTTTAAAGAGGCACTACATGCACATGTGCTCGGAAGAGCTCTAAACAAAAGAGCTCAACATACTCGTACCTTTTGGGGGCGTGGTTATGATAATCACATCCCCAATCATATAAAAGCCCAGTCTGCCTCCAAATCAGTGCCCTGTTGTAGTTCCTAGTTTCTCCTCAGCGCGTTCCTGTGTTATTATTATTATTATTATTATTGCCATTTATATAGCGCCAACAGATTCCGTAGCGCTTTACAATATTATGAGAGGGGATTTAACTATAAATAGGACAATTACAAATAAACTTACAGGAACAATAGGTTGAAGAGGACCCTGCTCAATCGAGCTTACATTCTATAGGAGGTGGGGTGTAAAACACATTAGGACAGGAATTTGCAATCAAATAAGGTGGGCTGCCCTTTAGGAGAGGGCAAGAGACGGGTATGTGAGGTAGGGGTTAGTCTTGGAGGCCATAAGCTTTCCTAAAGAGATGGGTTTTAAGGCACTTCTTAAAAGATGCAAGACTAGGGGAGAGTCTGATAGCGGGAGGTGTTCTTTTGGCTATTTTGTGTATTGACCAGGCTTGCCTTTGACGACTCTTATTTCTGGTTTCCCTGCCTCAGCTAGTTCCTCGTTTTTGTGTACTTCTATATTCCTTTGACCTCGGCTTGTTTCTGGCTTTCCTAGCTCCTTTAAGTCCGGCCATTCTAAGGACCGGTATAGGGACTCTTTATTGGTCTGGTGATTTTCACCCTGCGTATTGAGTATTACAGTCACACTTACAACTCCTTTTAAGGTTACCAGTCCAGAGGTTTGCACTAGGCAGAGAGGTAAACTCAGTGCCACCACTTCTCTGACTTTAAGTCAAAAGAAGATAGATTTGGCAGACATGTCAATCTCAGGATGGCTCAGTCCATTGTTCCCCATCTCAAAATCAGACAGTTCCTGGAGACCAGGTCTAAATGTGTGGTCTCTGAATTCTTTCATCAAGAGAAAAGGGTTTAGGATGGAAGGTTTATCAGATCTTATCATAATTAATTTTTTTCCTGTATAACGTTAGACCGAACAGATGCCTTCCATTCAGTCCTCATAGCTAAGGAACACAGAGGTTTCCTCAGGTTTCTGTGGAAAGGTTTGACAGTGGACTGTTATGGTGTTTGGCCCATACAATTAACCATACACATTCCCCAAAATAATTAAATCATTCATAGCCCAAGTCAAACTAAGAGGCTTCATGTGTCTGTACTATCAAGACTACCTCTTGCTGATGAATCCAGATGGGGAAGTCCCTTCTCAAATTGACAACGGGACAATCTCACTTCCCTTTTACAAGACCTAGGTTTTGTGGTGAATTTGCAGAAATCAACCCTAGTTTTCACTCAGAGTATTCTTTTTCTGAGTTTTGTACTGAACACCAGGTCTAAGAATCTCCAAAAAGGTCAGAGAAGAGTTGGGGACTATTCTGAGTTTAGGAATCCCTCTTCCTTGTCCCCTTTTAGAGCAGCCTTTTGCAGTAACTCTGAAATCAGATGCCTCAAATCACAATTGTGGTGCATTTTCAGCCAGAATACGATAAGTAGAAATTGGTCAGACCAAGAGACTCCTTCATATAAAGATTTTGGAGTTGAGAGCAATAAAGTTAGCCCTCCATGGCCTAGTTCCACTAAACCAGTTACCGGTGACAGTAAAATTGGCTTATATAAACCACAGAGAGGACACAAGATATTTGGTTTTGGACTTTAGCAAACAAAATTTGCCTTTTTGCAGATCACGTTCCAGTAGAGGCAAACAAGCTGGCAGATTTTTTTCTCACAAGAGTTTGGCCAGAGACAACTAGATCTCTTTGCATCCCACACAGACTCTCATGATTGTCACCAAGATTTGGACAAAGGGACTTGGAAGATGGATGCAATGTCTTTCCAGTGGACAGATGTTCCAGCCCCTTACACTTTCCCCCTTCATCTTTACAGATGTAAGTGCTGGAGAAGATCAGAAGAGACAGGGTACAGAGTTTACCTCTCATTTACTCAATCTGGACCTCCTGACATTGGTATCCCTTGATGCATTAGTTAGTCAATGGAACCAAGATCCCATTGAACCTTACTGTGGAGTGCTTTAAGGGATAAACAGTCTTTTGCTGAAGTTTCTGCAGCTGATGTGGATTGCAGTCCTGGTAGGCTGTTAACACATCCCCTTTTATTGGATCAGGTGCTGGACATCATTAATTCGTCTTTAAGATGCAGGACTAGGGTGAGCCATAGAAAGATGATTGAGAAATTCAGAGAATAGGAGGTTTCTTTTTTCAATCTTCTTCTCTGGTGCCATTCCCTTAGCTTTAGAATTTTTTACTCTTAACTTCCTTTCTAGGTTAGTGGTCAGTACCATCAAGGCCTATGGGTCTGCTTTAAATTTTATTATCCTTACCCTTACTCATGATGTCGTGTATAAGAGATTATTAAAAGGGTTGAGTCTGCTGATCATATACTCCACGTTACACATCTATTTGGAAAGTTGAGCTTATCACATTTTCTTAATTCTTTGGATAATACTAAGATTGATTAAGTTGGTTTCTCTTTTGTCTTTGGCAGCTAGAGGAGCGGAGTTAATTCAAATCTATATTTCAGACCGTGGTTGTCCAGACCCTGGGGATTTCCATACTATACTAAAAAAGAGATAAAAAACTTCCCATAAATCCGGTGAAATTTGATTTGGTTCAGGAACCTTATAAACCAGACTTACGGTCACTATCAGGGGTGCCTCGGATATTAAATCAGCAGCAAAGGGTCTTTGTTGGTTGGAAAGCTGCCAGGTGATCATTCAGTAAATCCTTTGTTAGATTTTACGGGACGCTACCAGACATCGAACCCTTCAGTTTCTCAGGATCTCCACCAGGTGTGTGCTATTCTACCCACTAGCTTTGTTAAGTGGTTAATTAACAAATGTTGTACCCATTCACAAGAAAGGTAGTAGGGAGGAATCGGGCAACTATAGCCCAGTAAATAGAAGAAAAATTATTAAATAAAATTTAATAAAGTATCCAGGAGTAGTATATGCCTTAGGGCTGATAATTGTGCAATGCTTGTGAATAGAAATTGCAATAAAATATTAAAATAAAATAAAATAAAACAATAATGTCCAATATTAGGTTAGAGTCCAATTAATAACAGTCTGTTTGATGAGAAGCTATATCATAATAGCAATAAATAGAATAATAGTCTTTTAAAGTCTTTGTTTGTAAGCTAATTCAGTTCACTCCAGTTATTAATGAACTGGGATCTGGATACTGAATTAGTTATTTGGTATAGTACAATGTAACAATATATATGGTCCCTGTAATTGAAATATTGTATCTTGTACCGGAGAATTGAACATAACTAACAGGCTATATAAAGTGGCCCTTAGTTATAACACTTTACTCCTAATAATAGGAAATAAAGTAATAAAATCCAAGTGGTGATATAAAAAGTTTTCCAAGTGTTGATAAGTAAAAAATATATTTATTGTAAGATAAACTTAAAATTAAAAAGCGAAAATTACACTCACATTGTTTAAAATATATGCTGAATATGGAGCCAGAGGACGGTGTAGGCAGCTGATAAAAATAAACTGTCCAATCGTCAGACGGATGGATAAGTAATTTTCAAGCCGCGTGCGTTCCACCGAATTCTCCCTCTGCGTTCCAGATGTAAATCAGCAGTATTGCGGTAGATGCCGGAAAGCAATGAGGTGTCGTTCTGTCGCTCTGAATACCGTCCTTACGCGTTTCGTTAGGCTTAGCTCACTTCATCAGTCCAGTAAGCCTAACTTCAGTAGTGGGGAAAGTGATGGAAACCATGTTAAAGGATAGGATTGTTGAACATCTAAAATTACATGGATTTCAAGATCAGAGACAACTTGGGTTTACTTCAGGGAGATCATGCCAAACTAATCTTATTGATTGGGTAACTAAAATAATAGATCAGGGTGGTGCAGTAGACATTGCTTACCTAGATTTCAGTAAGGCTTTTTAAGCTGTTGAATGAAGGATCATCAATAAACTGCAATCTTTAAGTTTGGATTCCAATATTGTTGAATGGGTTAGACAGTGGCTGAATGACAGGCAACAGAGGGTTGTAGTCAACGGAGTGTATTCGAAGCAAGGTCTAGTTACCAGTGGGGTACCTCAGGGATCTGTACTTGGACCCATTCTTTTTAATATTTTTATTAGTGATATTGCAGAAGGTCTTGATGGTAAGGCATGTCTTTTTGCTGATAATACTACAATTTGCAACCAGAAATCAAGAAAAATGGTGAGAGCTGTGGCAACTGACATTTAATGTGGATAAGTGCAAGGTAATGCATTTTGAGCGTAAAAACCCAAAGGCAGAGTATAGAATATTTCATACCCTACTAACCTCAACATCTGAGGAAAGGGATTTAGGAGTAATTATTTCAGATGGCTTAAAGGTAAGCAGACAATTTAATAGAGCAGCAGGAAATGCTTGCAGAATGCATGGTTGTATAGGGAGAGGTATTAGCAGTAGAAAGAAGGAAGTGCTCATGCCATTGTACAGAACACTGGTGAGACCTCACTTGGAGTATTGTACGCAGTACTGGAGACCGTATCTTCAGAAGGATATTGATACCTTAGAGAGAGTTCAGAGAAGGGCTACTAAACTGGTTCATGGATTGCAGGATAAAACTTACCAGGAAAGGTTAAAGGATCTTAACATGTATAGCTTGGAGGAAAGACGAGACAGGGGGGATATGATAGAAACATTTAAATACATAAAAGGAATCAACACAGTAAAAGAGGAGACTATGTTTAAAAGAAGAAAAACTACCACAAGAGGACAAAGGTTTATAATAATATCAGGAAGTATTACTTTACTGAGAGGGTAGTGAATGCATGGAATAGCCTTCCAGCTGAAGTGGTAGAGGTTTCTGTGTCTGTCTCTTCCCTCCCTGTGTGTCTGTGTTTGTCTCTGTCTCTCCCCTCCCTGTGTGTCTGTCTCTGCCCTCCCTGTCTCTCTCTCTGTCCTCCCTGTCTGTCTCTCTCTCTGTCCTCCCTGTCTGTGTCTGTCTCTCTGTCCTCCCTGTGTGTCTGTCTCTGCCCTCCCTGTGTGTCTGTCTCTGCCCTCCCTGTGTGTCTGTCTCTGCCCTCCCTGTGTGTCTGTCTCTGCCCTCCCTGTCTCTCTCTCTGTCCTCCCTGTCTGTGTCTGTCTCTCTGCCCTCCCTGTGTGTCTGTCTCTGCCCTCCCTGTGTGTCTGTCTCTGTCTCTCCCTGTGTGTCTCTGTCTCTCCCTGTGTGTCTGTCTCTGTCCTACCTGTCTGTGTCTGTCTCTGTCTCTCCCTGTGTGTCTGTCTCTGCCTTCCCTGTGTGTCTGTCTCTGTCTCTCCCTGTGTGTCTCTGTCTCTCCCTGTGTGTCTGTGTTTGTCTCTGTCTGTCTGTGTCTCTGTCTGTCTGTGTTTGTGCTCCTGTCAGGTTTGAATGAGGAAGCCCCTCCCCCCAGTAACCCCATCGTTGCCAGTTGCTAGGTAGACTCCGCCCCTCCCAGTCTCAGTTCTGCCCAATTCAGCAACTGGATGGTTAACCACGCCCCGCCTTCTGACGTCACGGCGCACGCGCGGTGAGAAGTAAACATAGCTAGTCCCGGTGTAGCCGCATCTCAGAGCACGCTCGGCGGACGGATACACGGCTCCAGGATACCGGGCGCAGTGCACACCCAGAGCCCCGCCCCCTCCGCTCGGCCCCGCCCCCTGTCCGCCAGCCGCGCCGCTCCTTGTTCTCCCAGGCCGTGCTGACCGGTTCCATCCGGCTTGTGGCGCATGCGCACTGACCCTCCCACAGGAAGCGCTGACAGGCCGCAGCTGTACCCCCCCAGCCCCCCAGCTCTGCGCCCCGGCTCCCGAGCTCCCCCCCCCGGTGTGTGCCAGGCAGGCAGGATGGTGCAGAAGGAGGGCCAGGCCCCGGCTGCCATCACAGAGACAGACAAGGAAAGCAACCCCAACACACTGAGCCCTGAGCTGGCCAACCAGATCCCCCCCGGGGAGGACACCGCCGGCAACAGGAGATTCCTCTGCGGAGTGGTGGAGGGTATGG